GGGCTGTGGAAAACCACCCTTGAAGCCAACCGCAAACCACTTGCACAAGTGTCCATCAAATGTGGCATATACCAAGGAGATGCTCTGTCCCCACTGCTGTTCTGCAAAGGCCTGAATCCCCTCAGCCAAATCATCAACAAGACTGGCTGCGGATACCGACTCAAGAATGGGGCCACAATCAGTCACCTCCTCTACATGGATGACATCAAGCTGTACGCCAAGAGCGAGCGAGACATCCACACCACCAGGATCTACAGCACTGACATTGGGATGTCATTCGGACTAGAGAAGTGTGGCCGGATGGTTACAAAGAGAGGGAAGGTCATCCGCACAGAAAGGGTCTCACTCCCAGAAGGAACAATAGCAGACATAGAGCACAGCTACAAGTACCTGGGAATACAGCAAGCAAATGGCAACCTCGACGAGGTCCCAAGGAAAGGAGCCAAAGCCAAATACCTCCAACGAATAAGGCAAGTCCTGAGAAGCCAGCTCAATGGCAAGAACAACATCTGTGCAATAAACAGCTATGCCTTACCAGTAATCAGATACCCTGCCGGAATAATTATCTCCATAAATATTTAGTTTGAAGGTAAATCTTTAGCTTGCTAATGTAACATAGTTAATGAATAGAATTCCACTTGTCATTACTTCCAAGTTTGGGTTCATGTGTAATGGGTGAAACAGCACCCCCTCCTGGAGGTTGGCAGTAAGTATAGTGAACACAGACATCTCGTTGCCAGAGGCAGGTCCGCTGAGTTTAACGCTGCGGTAAATTGTTGTTAGCTTGTTGATTCCTCGTAAGGTTCTGAACCCGCTGTGATGAACCTGATTCCTGATCAGTCCATATTCTAAACGTTTCACCTCATCCTGCCTCCTGGCCCTTATTCACACAACGCAGGAACTGATTCATACTGAATGATCACGATTATCGAGGTTACACTAAGTAGTACTAAATATTTAGTTTCAAACTGACATTTATAAATGAATGAATAACAGGGTGAAAATATGAGTGAAAAAAATCCCCATTTTCCTCTGATGACCGGATGAATAATCCAGATTTTGGCTCCTCCAGGTGAAGTTGCGGGTCCAGCAGTTCATGGAGAAAATGCTGCAGCAGATCGGGGCAGAACACTGGCCTGCAGGGGGCGCTGATGTCTCCTCTGCTGAGGGGGGGCCTGATAACGGCATGGGGCCCCTCAACGCCCACGCGCTGGTTGTCTCCCACGGTGCCTACATGTGCGTGGCGGTGCGTTACTTCGTGGAGGAGCTGCGGTGCAGCGCCCCTGCAGGCTGCGACAGGAAGCGCATGTTCTCGCTGAGCCCCAACGCAGGGATCTGCAGGTTCAACCTGACGGTGGTCCGGCAGGGGGCGCGCTACGTGGTGTCAGGCATGCGCTGTGTGTTCATTCACAGGGTGGGGGGGGCAGAGCAGGACGAATAACCTGCTCATGATTTATTAGTGAATTTATTTTAGTGAAGGAAACCTTCACTGTCTACAGGCGATGATGATGGCACAATGTTTAGTTTTATCATAAGCAGGCTCAACAAAAGACATAAAACACAAATATAAATATTTTATCATTATTTTTAATCAATGGGTGAAAATAAATTGACTGAATCATGAGAATTGTCCAGATTGAAAATATGAATAAGAGAGATTTCTGTTGGTTCAGTATTTTATAATCTCCAGAAACTGTAACTGTTCATGAATGTCTGCTCTATTTATTTGTGCATTTACTGCATTAAACTCTGCAGCTGATGATTTATTTTATTTATGTATTTTTATTAGCATGCTTCATAAATCCAGACAAACTGCGACGTAAAATAGTTTTGGTTCATATTTTCATTGCTTCAAAACTATTTTTCCAGCTATTTTTATCTGTTAATTTGTAAATAAGTTTATTTACAAATTAACATTTATGATGTTTCATATGTTAATGATTGAAACATGAAACTTCATGTTGCAGAGCAGAAACTTATTTTTAGGTTCATACAGATTGTGATGCAGAAGAGCTTCACCATCATCATCACCATCACTGTGTGACTTACTGGCTGCTGTCAGTAACTGCACTGTAATTACTGTAACTATGGAGCATAAACAACTTTTCTTTCTATATTGACAAAGTGGAAAGTTTTTGCTCTTTTTGGGAATCGGTGACAACAGCTCAGACAGCTGCCAAAGTGTGTGTGTGTGTGTGTGTGTGTGTGACCTGTGCAGCCTGTCCTGTGTACAGTGTGATCTGTAGAAAATGTTTTGTTTCCTGATCTTTCCCCTGAAATGCATCATTTATATGTCAGGTGGGAAAAGTTCAGAAAAATTCAGCAAAGAGGATAAATCGAGTAAAATATTAATCATCCCGTACAAAGAAACATCAAAAGCTGCCATCTGCTGTAAATGAAGTTGTTAGTGTTGGCTTAGAGTTTGTGAACAGCTCTGGTCCAGATCTGTGGAGAGTAGATGTTGTTTGCTTGAATCTATTTTTACCAAATAACATCACAGGTTTGATTTCCCCAGTTTTCACTATTAAACTTATTCACCTCCTTCAGTGCTTTTACAGATCAATCATGATCAACAGAATTTGGCTTTTCTGCTTTCTTTGGAAAACAATGTAAAGAAAACCTTTTGCGGTTAAAGTGAAAACCGATTTCCACAAAAGAAATACAAATATTTAACATGAAATCAGTGATTTCATTCCCCTGTTACTGGCTGACCTCATTCATCAGCGGTCCAGCTAACTGGTGCCGGTGACCTCACAGTGATCAGCTGGGAAAAGTTTCTCTCTGTGCAGAACTGAGTATTTATCTTCGGTCTGTTCACTTTTTTCCATCTCCTGTTACATTTTCTGAAATATTACATCACAGTATTTGCTGTAGAACTAAACAACTGTAGCACCTTAAACCACTCTATGATGAAAACTAAAATGGTGGGTGCTTGGGTTCGACATCGATCAGGTACACCCTGATGTATGCAATAACCTAGTTGGTAACAAATATCACCCAGAGAAACAGAATTTCAGGCAAAATGATTCAGCTTCACTTTATTAACTAAGGTGACAGGAATCCTCAGTTAATCACCAGTTGAACTGTAAGTTGTAAAACTTTAGGGAAAAAACAAAAAACAACATATACTTCTTCACATAAGGCAGCACAACTAAACTATTAATGGGCACAATTCCCTGAAATGTCCAAGCTAGTATATCATCCTGAACAAATGTAACTCAGTCAGTTCTACTCACAACCACAGACATGAACACGTAGACGCCTCATGGAGCGGGTCATAGGTCATGGAGCGGGCCATAGGTCATGGAGCGGGCCATAGGTCATGGAGCGGGTCATAGGTCATGGAGCGGGCCATAGGTCATGGAGCGGGTCATAGGTCATGGAGCGGGTCATAGGTCATGGAGCGGGCCATAGGTCATGGAGCGGGTCATAGGTCATGGAGCGGGCCGGCCCGTTGCTGCGATACGTCTCAGCGTCCGCCATATTGAATGTAGCATCTCTGCCAGTAAGCTAATACAGGTAAATGGACCGAACTTCACAAAGTGCCGTTCTACAAAGTATTTAAATTATTTCCTGTCATTGACACATTTTCTCACACATTAATATATTTGGTAATCAGAGAAATGACTAAAGAGAGTTTCTAACTTTTGATGTGATTATTTAATTGTTTCGGTGCATTTCTGAATAAAGAGCACAATGTTTTATTTGATAGAAATTATTCTTATTTTTATATTAACATTGATGAACAGACACTTTTACAGTGTTTTATTAAAGAACATATTTACATAATTCCATAATTTAATGTACATTTAACGTTTCAAGACAACAAATTATTTTCTTGTATTTATTTTTTATACATTATTGAGAAATGACTTTTGATTTATAAATCAGTCATTGTCAAACATTAAACTACATATTTTTCTTACTTTTTTCCAGATAAAAATATTTATTACAGGATGTCAACTAGCAAAGAGTGAAGATAATTGTAACAGAGTAAATTGTTTTTATTTCTTTACATAAGCTGCATTAATACCGTGATACTTCAGATTGAGATATTTACACAAAAAGTGAAAGAATAAAACATTTATTTATTAAACTGGGAACACTGGTCACAGGCTTCAGTCTGCTGGTCACACTGGGAGAACTCAATGACTTCTGAGACGTCCTGGTTCACAGGCTGAAGCCAAGGATAACAGAGAAATTATCCAAAAGTGTAAAAGACATTTTCAGCATGTTGGGCTCTGACTCGTAGCATCTTTATAGCTAAATACCGACATGGAGAAGCTGAGCTGGAAACAGACTGAAGAACAGCAGCTCCAGCTCTGATCCTGACTGATCTTTCCTCACTAAATCCTCTGGTTTCTAATGAACTTCTCCTCTAACAGCGGTTTCACCAAGTAAGGTAATTACTCATTAGTTTGTATTATTCAACTATTAAGGTGAAGGAAAATGCCAATGTATTTCTTTCAGAAAGAAGGATGCTGAACACTTAGTTGTCATTGTATGCCTGAGTAAACAAGAATTTACTTTTAATATACTTGTATCTTGTTTTGGACCATATAAGATTTCTATTAACCTTAACCTTTCTGTTAAGGTTAATAGAAATCTTTAATAGTTTCTATTTGTAGTGACTATTTGCCCAAAAACTTAAATTAGTAAATAAAAAAACCTCAAAACTCAAAGGTGACCAAAACAAAAGTGAATCCAACTCAAATAGTCACCTGATGCACCTGGATTCTGGTTTACGCAGCACAAAGGATCAAAAAGTCGAAATGCAGTTCTTTGGTTTAATTTCACAGTTCAGGCAAAAAGGTTACAGGATTCTGCTCCGATTCCTGTTCTCCGACCGACGACTAGAGTCTGATGTGACAAAAAACCTTGTGACCACCACCTGCATAATAAGCTGCCTAAGAGACCCACCTATTTATATCGTGATATACCCACATCCCAACCTGAAATTAACTAATTAAGTGAATTCCTAATCAAAGAACTTATTCTTAACAACAAATCAAACAAAAATTCTAATGATAAATCAACTAGAAAATAAACAAAATATAATAATAAACTAAACAATTTAAATTCTAAGATTTAACTAAAAAATGGGAAAATAGCTCCTACACTATTAAGGGTTAATAGAAACTATTAAAGGTTACAGTTAATTACTGTAACCTCAGTTTACCACTGGGCTACCCGACCTTCGGCTAATCAGGTTCAGGAATCCGTCATGTTTATTTCTCACAGTGGTGTGAGAAATAAAAGTCAGACTGAGGGTTGTCGGGTGTATTAACACACACAGCTCATCACACCCTGTCAGTCTGGTTACATTTGATTTTATGGGAAATGTTTCCACATCAAACTCCTCTTAACTGCATGAAGCTCCTCGAGGACAAAAGCTTCAGCGACCTCCGTTAGCATCAAGACTCGGTTCCTCCTGTCTGTGGAAACGACCACAGCAAAATGCTAAGCTGCTAACGCTAAAATGATAACAAACCATCATAGACATGAATTAGTTGTGCTGATAATTTTGTTTTTAGCCTTCTGCTAATGTTAGCGCTGTGTGCTAGCAGTTAGCTAGAGAACAGAACCTTACTCTGAGTTTTGAAAAGTTATTAGGTGAACAGCTGGCATAGCTTTTGTCCTGGGGAACACATGATCCAGATGAGTTCAGTGCGTTCTTGGTGCTAGCCTTAGCTAACCCGCTAACCATGCTGAGGTTTTCCAGACGTGTTCGTTCACGTTGAGTCGTTTTCTGGCTCCAACATGTCAGGCTGGATGGACGAGTCTACTGCTGGTCAGAAACGTTTCTGCACCGTCAGATAATCTATCTCTGCTATCAAACTACAAAAATGGCCGAACAGCAGGGGGCGGGGTCTGAACTACCTCATTTGCATTTAGAGAGACCAAAACGAGTTGCTCTCAGATGAACCTGGGGTCAGAGGTCAAAGAGGAATCTGAGGAGCTACAAGAACCAGGAAGTCAGCTTTAAATAGACCACAAGTGGAGGGTTCAGCTGAAGGACTGGAAAGGAACATTTGTTCACTTTAAAGGATTTTTTGTAAAAAAAAAAATTGTCAAAAACAACATAATTTAGTTGATTATGATTGATTTGTAAAAGCAATAAAAGGGTAAAACATTCAAGGGGGTCAATACTTTTTGTAAACTGTACTATCTGCAACTTTTCAGGAGCAGCTCAGCTAAAATATTTGCAGCGGTGAACAGCGTATGGAGGCGAGGAGGAAGGTGAAACTCCCGCAGCGATCCGCTCGTCTTCCTGCTCTGATTAAAGAAGCTAAAGAACTTTTCTGGTTTCAGGCATTTTTTTCTAATTTTTATTTTCTATCAGAAATATATAAATAAAAAACAGCACACAATAAAAGAAGCTATGTTACACATTTCAATAAATAAATATCTTCATTGCTGAGACTGTTGGTGTCCAGCACCGGATCATTTCTCTTTCCTGTTCCATCATTCATTACTCGCTTTTAGCATTTCAGTGAGAATATTTAGAGGTTTTGAATATATGTGAAGAAAGCGTTGCCTCATCTGGCTCAAGGATTAAAATTTAACAGACAACAGAGGTTAAAGGTCAGCAGGAGCAGCTTATCCCTCTGCTGTTCAAACAGAGGCAGTGGAGCCTCAGTGATCAGATGAGACCTCAGAGAGTGTCTGATTGGAGCACAGCGCGCCGGCGCCGCAGACAGGAAGCTGGTCCCACTCGGTCCCCCTTGGTCCCGCTCGGTTCAACTCGGTTCCATTTGGTCCCACTCGGTTCCACTCGGTTCCATTTGGTCCCACTCGGTCCCATTTGGTCCCACTCGGTTCCATTTGGTCCTACTTGGTCCCATTTGGTCCCACTCGGTTCCATTTGGTCCCACTCGGTCCCTCTCGGTCCCACTTGGTCCCATTTGGTCCCACTCGGTTCCATTTGGTCCCACTTGGTCCAATTTGGTCCCACTCGGTCCCATTTGGTCCCACTCGGTTCCATTTGGTCCCTCTCGGTCCCACTTGGTCCCATTTGGTCCCACTTGGTCCAATTTGGTCCCACTCGGTCCCATTTGGTCCCACTTGGTCTCTGCATGTGGCCCATTGCTCTGCAGCATCAGACTTTCTTTTTCTTTGCTTCCTGACAACCAGCAGCTGCAGGACGTCACTTCTGCTCTGCTCGCTCTGCGATGTTCGTCTTCACGGGACTGCCGTGTCCGTTGGGCCTCAGCACCCGCAGTGGGTCGTCACAGGAAGTGATGGTTTCCTTGGAAACGGCGCCCGCCTGGTTCGGCTCCACATCCTTCACAGGAGGAGATGGATGGGACTCTGTCCTCAGAGGATCGGACGGATTCACTTCCTCGCTCCTTCTCTGCCTCTTCACTGACCGGCTGTCCGGTGGCCCCCCACGGACAGCTTCTGGCCCACCAACCTCCAGTTTGACCAGCCAGCTCCTTCTCAAAGAGGAAAACGGGTCATGGCGCTCAGCCTGCCGGAACATATGTTGAAAGAGACAGTGTCCTCTGTCCTTCTGTCTCTGTCATGGAGACAAACAGAAACGTTTACTGAGATCTGCTCTGTTAAGGTGGATCTGTTAAGGTGGATCTGGAAGATACTCACAGACTTGTAGAGTTGTCCCTTTATGTCCACACACAGGAAGCGTCTTCGTCTCAAGTCAAAGATCAGCACCCAGCTGTCGGGTGCTGCAGCTACCGGCAGAACGACTGAAAAATGATTCAATAATTCAGAAAAATAACTTTTAATTACCAGGAATATTGTTTATTTAGAAGTCATGAAAATAATCAATAGAATCTAAAATCCCTTCAGAAAGATTACGGTTTGTCTGAAATTGTGAAAAATATGATTGTTTTTCCAAACATATTGCAGGAAAACTGAACATTCTGTGGAGTAAAATGTTGTGAATCCTGAAGACGCCTCAGTTTGGATCCGACTGGAGCCGTTTGTGATCCTGGCGCTGATGAAGACGATCGTGGAGTCAGGATCAGACTCACCCAGGTGAGGAGCGTTTGGTCTCAGGTCCAGGCGGAGGCGTCGCGGACCGGCGGGAGCCGCGGCATCCGCGTCGCCCGCCTGCGGCCGCCGCGACTTCGCTCTGCTCTCCGCTCTGCCACAAACATGCAACACAATCAGGAAGAGTGCGAGGGGAACCAGCTGCATGGTCAGCGGCGAGGGTTCCTCTCCAAAAGCTCAAATGGTGAGAGGGCAGCTTCTGGAGCAGGAGAAAGTCCAACAGGCTTATTTAAACAGAGGGTCAATAAACCGGCTAACTGATTTACCAAAATACCTCGGAGCCTCCCTGCAGCCGCACCGCCAGCCTCATTTTACAGCATTCATTTGGTTTTTAGGATTAAAATGAGATTAATTCATTATAGCATGAAATGAGTTGAAACTTAGAGAGATTCTGCTCTAATGATGTTTTTCTGGAAGGAGCCGGGTCAGAACCAGAACCTGTTTGTTGCGGCGGCCAGGGCGACCCAGAGGAACGTCCAGAACCTCCCATGGCCCCATGCTGAGTCACAGCATCAATGATTCATCCCCTGCTTATTAATTAACTGTACACACTTCCGCTGCTCCCACGCCGTTGCACAACGGAGCTGTAACTCATTTTCTCACGCCGCGGCGTCTTTCGGTGACCTGCTGACCTCATCAGGCTATAAAACACTTTGACTCTCACAGCTAAACTCCACAGCTTGTAAATGATCCTGAGCAAAGTTTAATCCCCAGTGAATTATTTATTTCAAACAGACAAAAGTAAAATCAAGAAAGAAGAAAAAGAAAATTAAAATTAAAACAAGTCATCACACCCAAGTGAAATGAGATTTTATATTATCTGTTTGAAAAGGAGCAGGTAGAAGATCCAAGATCTTAAGATGTCCTGCCCCATTTCATACTCATAAACTTATCAATTAAATGTCAAAACACCAAAAAGATAAATTGATGATATAAAGTGTTTAAATAATTGTACATTCTCATCTTTAGATGTACAATTATTTAAACACTTTATATCATCAATAGCCTTTACGGACTTTAAAACACTCATCTTATAGAACATGTTTCCCAATCAGGTCCTTTTTAAACTGGTTTATATATTTATCATCTCCACACACCGATAAACAGAAACGCTTCCTGGTTGTTCTTGATTTTTAAATATCCTTCACCTCCTAAATTATAACCCCTCTCTGTCACAAAACAGTTTTTGTATATTGGGTGGAAGTTGATGATTTCTGACCTTAAACATGAATTGTACAGTTTTAAATGTTACAAGGCCCCAGAATTTCAGTTTATTTGATTTAAAAAAAAAACAGTTTTGTGTTTTCCCAACATCCCGCTTTATGTATTCAGATTGATTTATTCTGTAAGACATAACGGCTGTAAATGTGTTTTGTATCCAATCCATCATCTGGACAAGGAGAGAAGATGGACCACCAGGATAAATATTTAGTTTAAGGTTAACATTTGGTTAGCGAGCTAAATAGTTAGCTCAGATCTGAATATTTAATTATCAAGCTAAACATTTAGCTTGATAATTATGTATTTACTTTGAAACTGACATTTATAAAGTCATGATGACATAATGAACCCAGATTATTGGTTCATTCTTAACTGTAAAACTTTAGAAACGGTTCTGGTCACATTCCATCAGGCAGGGTTGGGTCAGCCAGGCGGTTCCGTTTCCGGTTCCGGACCCAGTCCGTCTCGGTACCGCTCCCAGAACTGGTTGATTGATTGTTGTGGTTTCCATGGTAACCGCCTCTTTGCAGCAACCTGCCCAGAGGGACAGGTGGGAGCGCGCATCGCTCTAAACTCGCATATTGATGAGAAAACGGACTGAAATATGACCGAAGAGGAAACTTTTAAAGATATTCGTAACATTATCATGTTTCCTAACCATGTAAGGCCTAAAACGGTGGGTTTTATTTCGCAGATGAATTGAAATAAATACAGTTTTGACACCTTTAATGAGACACGAGTCCAATGTTTTACAGTGTCTGATGAACATGTTCTCCGCTTTTTCTTTAACACCATAACAGCTTAACGCATGAGAAAACGGAGGTATGGAAGATTTAATATCACCTTAACTGTCCAGCCATTAATACAGGAGGGGATGCATCTTAATTTGATCCTCCCAATCCCTGCATCCCCTGTCTATTGTCCTGTTGATCTGAACCAGTAGCTCACAGAAGAAGAGTGATTATAAATGTTAAAAGTTAGGAAACTGTAACTTGCTGATGGAAATGCTAAATCACTGTGGTGAGTCCGGTCAGAACCCCAAAGAAACCAGAACCCCACATCAGTTGGTCCAACCTGCACTGGCTGTTCAGTCTTTATTTCGCCGTAACGGTGTGGTTCTACAAAATATCAATAATAATGCAGCATCAGTGTCTGATGAATAAATGACTGAAATAAAAACACACTTACTTCACTAACTACACTAATAATAAAGGTTACACAAATATTGTTCTAAATAAACACAACACAAAAAACCACGTTGTGTAGCTCAAGTGCGCACGTGAACGAAGCTTGTAATTAATTAACGCTAAAACTTAAATATTCAGATGCATAAATAATATTCCTCACTTTCTAACATCACGTACTTGTATTCCACGCACACACATCGAAAATAAAAAGGTAACAACAAACGGTAACTCTCGGCTCCTTTTCTTCTCTCCCTCTTTTCATCTGCGTGCTGATCCACAGGTGCTCTAAGCTCCGCCCCCTTAAAGGGCCTCAGCACCTGAGCAGCCTTTTTCACAATTGTCATATAACACATCCAACATCTTCACACTGCAGGGCACGCATTTTCTGGTAAGGGACATCTGAACCTGATGGCCTTCCTCACCTGGGGCCTCTGGACTGTTTGACCTTATGCATTCATTATGTCACAGCAAAGGGTCAGACTGCAAGCATTATTCATAAAGAACCCACTTTACTCAAGTCTAACTCTTAAATAACACATTCATCAATCTGTGCCTTGACACAATCTTACCCTTGTTGTGACATGCTTTTACTGTAAGCTGAACAATGAGCGTCCAGCCTCTGACCAGCAGAGGGCGCTCCACGCTCACCTTTACTTTCTCCTCAGATCCAAAAATTACCGTATTTTCCAGACTATAAGGCACCTAAAGCCTTAAATTTTCTCAAAAATCAGCAGTGCGCCTTACATGTGCACTGAATTCCAAAATCTGTCCCGGACACAGAGACGTAAAGTGTACAGTACGGACGGCAGCAGCGATAAACCAATCAGAGAATTGTTGTCCAAGTTCTGCAGCATAGCCTCGGTAAAAACCAGATCGGTTTTTCCACGCATCACCGTCCCTGTTCATCTGCGACTCCATGCGCGCCCGTCTCACTGCTACTGTGGAAAAGGAAGCGAAGCAAACTGATTCGGAGTTTGCCGTCATTTCAGGAGGATTAACAGAAGAACTACAACCGCTGGACATTGGTGTAAACAGGCCGTTCAAACAGAAGTTAGGAGCGGCGTGGGAGCGATGGACGACAGACTGAACACAGTTTACTGAGAGACTCTGACAATGATGAGAGGGAGCCTGGCATGTTTGATGGCAAAATTGGCCAGCTGTTCAATTCAGACACAGAAGAGGACTTTGATGGACTTGTGGACGAGGAATAAAAAATAACGTGAGTGTATTGTTACATAGTCGAATAAAGTTCAACTAAACTTAAAGTTTTGTTTCCTTTACCGTTTTTTTGTTTTGTTTTTTTTTGTTTTGTTGACCGTATGTTTTAGTGTGCGTCTTATAATCCGGTGCGCCTTTTGTATGTGTTAAATACAGAAACAGACGCCATAATTCAGAGTGCGCCTTATAATACGGAGAATACGGTACTTATTAAAGTAACCGAAACAAAATCTGGAAGAAATTCACTGCAAAAGATTTTACAAAACAAATTTTATTTTCATCTCAGGAATACAGTTGACTGCTGTGCACAGCACAGACGTACAAAAATAAAAGGAAAACTATTTGTTATATAGTATTTTTTCTCACTTATATTTCAGAAACAAACGACTGGAGAAATCTGTTTTCAAACTAATTTACAATCATTTCAACAATCGGAACTAAGGCAGAAGGTGAGGTATTAAAAACAGGAGGAAGGACCGGGAGTGCAGGAAACTAAAACAGGCTGCAGCTGGAACAACTACACAGCTCTGACCCCCAGCTGGCAGCTGACCTCTAGTTGGCAACTGACCTCAAATTGACAGCTGACCTCTAGGTGACAGCTGACCTCCAGCTGGCAGCTGACCTCTAGGTGACAGCTGACCTCCAGGTGACAGCTGACCCTCAGCTGGCAGCTGACCTCCAATTGACAGCTGACCTCCAGCTGGCAGCTGACCTCTAGGTGACAGCTAACCTCTAGGTGACAGCTGACCTCCAGCTTGCAGCTGACCTCCAGTTGGCAGCTGACCTCTAGGTGACAGCTGACCTCCAGGTGACAGCTGACCTCCAGCTGGCAGCTGACCTCCAGTTGCCAGCTGACCTCCAGCTGGCAGCTGACCTCTAGGTGACAACTGACCTCCATCTGGCAGCTGACCTCCAGTTGGCAGCTGACCTCTAGGTGACAACTGACCTCCAGCTGGCAGCTGACCTCTAGGTGGTAGCTGGCCTCCAGCTCCCTGCGGACATTTAAAGCAGACTTAACCGGCTCACTCAGATCTCTACTTGCATCTGGAGGTTATAGATGTTTTTTTCTGTTCCTCATCAGCTTTCTCCAGACTTTCACTCTGAAACAAACCAAAATGCTGCCGACGGATTTCTCTGTGCTGCAAATAACAAACTGACAGAAGCTGCTGTCAGCTGCTCAGAAAAAGTTAGGAGGAAGAACGACCACCTCATCTCCTGCACAGAAACCTGCAGACAGTGAAAATAAGAACAATATATAGAGAAGTGCTGCACCTTAATTTGGATATAAAGTTTAAAAAGCTACAGGCGATGTGCAGGCCTAAAGGTCATCAAAGGTCATTCAGGATCATCTCCATGACAACCTGGAGTCTCTGTCCTCATCATCAACTGGTAGGAAGAACCGGATCCAGTTTACTGGACCGACTGTTACAACAAATTGACCTCAGTGGCTCTCCAACAGAACCAGAACCGGGTCTGAACTCCTCTCTGCTACCAAACCCCTTTGTGACATCACTTCCTGTAAATCAGCCAGAATGCTGTGGAAAAGTTTTCAACCCCCTTCAGATTTTTTTTTCTTCATCAAAATGCTTCAGATTGTTGAAATCAGAGCAAAACTGAGTAGTTGGTACAGACAGCGATCGGGTCGGAACCAGAACTCTGGAGTTTTCCTGATGGATCAGGAAAAACGTGGAGGCGTGAATACTTTTGAACTGGTGCTTTTCCAACACCAGCAGAAATAGGAGCAGAGTTGAGGGTCAAAGGTCATGGCGAGGTGGACAGGTGCCAGGAGGGGACAAACACAGAGGACACTCCTGGAGGGGCAGCGCCCCCTGATGGGCTCCTTCTGCTCTGTGTTCAAGAAAATTATGCTGCTTGAAAAAATTTGAACATTAAAACCAAACCAGCAGATTGAGCTGAAAATCCTGGGATTAATAATTGGGATTAATAATTTGCTGCTGACACAAAAGAACAACAACAACATTAATAATAATGCTAAATAAATCAGGATGAATTATGAAGAACCTCAATAATCTGCTGTCAGTAACCTGAACACTTCAAAATAAAAGCCCAGTCACACCGATGGGGGGTGGGGGGTGAAGTTTCCTCCTGGCGTGGATCCTCAGGAACGTCAGACCCTCCAGGAATTGGGCTCTGGCTCAGGGCAGCATGACGCCGGGGTCGCTGCTATTTCTGACTCCAGATCAGCATTTCTGGCATGCAGGGAGGGAGGGGGGGCACAGCCGCCTCCTCCTGACGCAGAAACGCCAAACAGGAACAGGAAGGTCCGTCCCTAATGTAACCCCCCATCCCCCAGGAGGAAGTCCTCTCCCTCCTCTTCCTCATGAAGAAGGTGCTCCTCAACCCGCTCCTCCTGCTGCAGTCCGGTCCAGGTTTTCAGGCCTGTCCAGGTGTTTCTCACCTGGGATAATAATAATCCACATGTGCAAATCAGTTTGTTATTGCCACTTTCTGCCTCATATCCGGGGTAAGAAGTGGGTGACTGTCATGGCGGTGGTGGCCCTGTTGCCCCTCTTGACGCGGCCATGTTTGCTCAGCGCTATGAAGCAGCCGCGGTGCGCCGCAGACTCGTAGGCGTTGTAGTTGTTGGCCAGAAGACTCTCCCTGAACTTACACTCATCATGGAAGACGGTCTGCAGGGACAGGAAGGACGAAGCAGAGGTCAGAGCTCACAGCCGCCATGTTCACAGAAAAACGATTTCAACTCAGTTATAGATATTATTATTGATCCTCGTTATCAGCCAGGGCAGGGCGCTCAATTAATTATTCAAATTAGGTTAAAAATGTTTTATCTTAGAAAACCCAGCAGACAGAAACACCATTCCCCATTTACTGATAATTATTGATTTTTACTGATAATTACTGGTATTTATTGTGACCTGTCCAGGTGACCCCGCCTCTCGCCCAAAATGTTTGCTGGAGAGGCAGCAGCACCTCCTGATTTTTCCTGAATGTCAATCAGGTGAAGCTGAAACTGAACCAGAGGAGTTCTGGAACATCAGGTTTACAGACATAAAAAGGTTTTTATCTTGAATATTTTATATACTTTTGGCTTCATTATTTCTCTGTGTTGTTCTTTCAGTCTTTATGCTCCAGTTAACAATTAATCAATCACTAAATGAGCTGATTATTCCAATAATTGATTCATTTTGATTAATGTCTTCAGCTGTAACAACAGTGAAATGTCGCCATCTTCATCCCACCAACAGGAAAGTTTAAATACATTTAGTTAGGTTCAAATTAATGTACATGTTATTATTATTGAAATAATTGTCAACTAATTTAGTAATTGATTAATGTTAACTGGAGCAGAGACACGAAAAGAGGGTTTAGGCTGTTTTCTTGACTTTGCAGTAACTCCTTCACTTTTCTTTATCATCTCCATTAAACATCAAATGAAACTTGAACTTTCAGTTTCACCTCCAAACCAGCTGCGCTCTGGTTTTAATGACTTAACAATAAATAAGCATGTTTTCATTTCCTCTCCGTCTCACTGATGTGTCACAGAGAAAGAGAAGAAATCCTCAGCAGCGCAGAGCAAGTATGTGGCCTAGTCCAATCACTTATCAGATGCTCCGGCTGCTCACAAGCCGACACTTCATCACTCAGAGTCAGATAAGCAGCTGCATTCTCACACACACATATGCACAAACAGACATGCACACACACGCACACACACACCCGGGACATTCCTGTCTGTCCTCTGGACATGTCCACCGTTCACCAGCTGCTCTTGTCTGCAGTAATAATATTATTATTGTGATTATTAATGCTGTCATATTAAAATAACAAACTGAAACCTCTGATGTGTTACTTGGATTTGGTCTGCAGAAAAATCTTCCTGCCAAAGTTTTCACACCCCATCCCAGAAAAATTGATTTATGGTTTTCGTACCAAACCCAGCTGAAAAGTGTGGTGTGCGTTTATATTCAGCCTCCTCTGGGTTTGTCCGTCTTCACAACATTTTGCAGATTCTCTGGTGGAGTCAGATATGGACTTTGACTAGGCCACTCTAAGCTGTGAGTCAGCTCTGATCTACACCATCCCATAATATCTCTGTCTGTCTGTTCTGGTTGTCCTGCTGGAAGCTGAACTTTGACCCCAGTCTCAGCTCTTCTGCAGGTCTTCTTCCAGGTTTGTCCTGATTTAGCCCTATTCACCTTCCCACATCATGATGCTGCCACTGCCATGCTGTGTTTGAGTTCCGCTCTCCTCTGATCCACCTGGTTCCTGGATCCAAACTGAACAACTTTTCTTCTTCTTCTGTTCCATAACGAGCGGCTCCATCAGGGCCGTTACTGTTATTATTAAAATCATGTTATTAAATTATTACATGTTAAATCTACAATACTGTTTTTGTAAAACCTCATAATTCTGTACTTTTCAGAAATAATTCCAGTTTGGTTCAGATTAAAGAACTACAGATTAATTACAGATTAATTTCAACAGAACATCTCCAACAATAGCAACACATCAGAATCTATATTCTGATCAAACGAGCTTTCAGATATCCAAACCTTGAAAATCAGGAGTAAATAAAAGTATTAAATATCAAATAATAAAATAAATAACTGCTGCACTTCTAACACTGTTGTACTTTTATCATTTTATTATTTATTTATTACACTAAAAATGACTAAAAATATTAGAATTTCTCTCTCTGCTTCTGATGCTACATCACATTTTAAAATGATCATAAATGCCCGTTTCCATGGAAACCTCTGATCGGAATCATCATTATATTAATATTAATAATCATCTTTATATTAATAATATCCCTTCACTCTGGCTGCTGCATCAATGGGGCGTCCCGTCATAAAAATATTTAAATATCAAATGTATATCCGCACATCCTCTGACTGAACGTCTCATGTGACGTCTGCTTCCGGTTTTCCTTTTTTCCGTCTGCGCTGACAGAGAACTCACGATTTATGCTTGGATGTTGTTGCGGAACGAACCCTGCTCTAAACTGACCCAGAACCAGAACCAGAACCAGAACCTCCTCCATGACCTCTACAGAACTGGAACCAGAACCGGAACTGCTCCATCAGAGTGAGGAGGGCTGAAGACAAACGCCCACCACACTTTTTAGATCGTGTTGAGAAGCATGCAGGATGTTTCTGTTCTGATCAGTGAAATGCGATCCAGTGTGAAGGGAGTGGAGACTTCTGCAGGTATATCCCCCCCTCCCCTCCCCCGGGCTCCCCGGGCCCAGAACGGGCAGTTCCCTGTGAAATTAGCGCCGTGGCTTTAACGGGCTTCAGGGGGATTCCCACGCTGCACCTGCTAGCCTCATCAGCGGCCTTTAAATAGACCTTTCTGAGCTGGCGGAGCTGCGGGTTCACCTACCGTCCCGTACAGCCTGCCGCGGCTGTTCATGGCCACGAAGCGCTCGCTGCGCAGCCCGAACAGGCTCACCACGCCGCGCTCCACCGTGGAGATTTGGATCAGACCTGCAGCGGGACATAGAGCGTGTTAGAGCGGACACAGAGGACACGCCGTCCCGCTGGGAACCCCGCAGGGAGCCGAGCAGCATGCGGGGCCTTTGTTCCGCATGCTGCGCTGCATCCAGGCAGGAACTGCAGCAGATGCATCAGCGCATGCACTCCGATGCATGGGGGCGCGCGCCATGGCTGCGTAAAAATAAGTTGGGTCTAAAAGCGTCCATACATTCATAACATGGCTGAGGAAGAGGAGGAGGTGGATGAAGATGGGCTGATGATGCTTGTTTTTAATAGCATCACATTCGGAAGAAATTTAATTCTCCCAGTGAGGAGCAGAGGTCTGCTCATGCATGTTAACGGGGGCCGAGGGGGCAGCCTGCTCCGCTCCGCTCCAGCCTCCTGCCTCCCTGCGTCAGCCCGGAGGAGGAACTCACTGTACGGGTCCTCGCTGTGCGCCCCGCTGATGCCGCCGTCGGGGAGGACCTGCAGGTGGAACCCGATCCCCACGTTGCAGTAGAGCCTCCGGACTCGCTGGATGCCCAGCAGGTAGTCAGTCTCCCAGCTGAGCTCCGGTTTCTCCCCGGAGACCCCCAGCACGGAGCGGGAGAACAGCGTCTCCCAGCGCCGGTCCAGCGGAGCCGCGTCCGGCGTTGGCGCCCCCGCCGCGGCTCCCAATAGGACGCCCAGGAGCAGCGCCGCGGTCGGCGTCCAGCAGGACATTCTGCCGAAGAACCTTAGTGCAGCGGACATCCGGTTCTCCTCGGGGCCACGTGCTCCAAATTAATGAGCCTAAAAATAGCGCGCCCCGTGTCGCTGCTGCGGCATGGCGGCGGCGGCTGGCTGGCGAGCGGCAGAGCGGGGCTCCGGAACCCCGGGGGTCGGGAGGAGAGGAGACGGCGGAGGGCGCGCTGGAGCTGATGGAGATGCTGCTGCTGCTGCTGCTGCCGCCGCTGGTGATTACCATGGTTCGCAGCTCCTCTGCGCCCCGCTCTCTCTCTCTCTCTCTTCCTTTCTCTCTCGCTCCGACGGTCTGCGGCTCGGTTCTGGTTCCACTGATCCTCCGGGCCGCCTGTCGAATCACCGAGCAGCCCTGGTTCTGGTTCTACCCGGGCCGGGCTCCCGCATCCCGGGTTGACATGGTGGCAGTCTGCGCCAGATTGGCGGCGGTCAGCGGCCTGGGTCGTGGTGGGGCGCTGCGGCTCCCAAATTGGGCCGGGCGGGCGGTCATGTGTCTGTCAGGCCGCTTCCTTATTTAGAATGGAGGTGTAAAAACAGGCCGGCTGTCACCGGAGAGCAATGACGGAGCTCTGGTGGTCCTCAGCCGCGCAGCTAAGCAACTTTTCCTTGAAAAAATAACATAAAATGAAAGAAAATAAAATAAAATAAAGGTTTTCTGGGTGAATCGACGCGTCAGGTGCGCCGGAGAGGTCAGGTGGCGTTGGGGGGGAGGGGGGGGGTTCAAGTCCGCCAAGGCAGCCGGAACCAGAGCGGCCCAATCAGATCCAGTGTTCATCCAGACATTTCTCAGCTCAGGAGGAAAAGCAGCAGAAGAACCAGGAGGAGAACCTGATCGGCCCGCATTCCGTTCCCTGCGTGCCGGTCCCGCAGCAGGGAGAGTGGGGGGCAAGGGGGGTATCACCTTCTCCATGTAACAGACAACAGGCGGGGGCGGGGAGGGAGGCCCGGCACCTGCAACCCTTCCTCCACATCTCCAGCAGATGGCGTCATTTCCATATTAACCGTTCAGATCATCATCATTATCATCTTCATCCCGGTTTAATTAGGTCCAACATGTTCGATTATTTCCATAATTTAATTAGGGATGAACCGATTAATTGATTATTGAAATAATAGTCAACTAATTTCGTAACTGGAGCAGAGACACTAAAAAGACGATAGACTTTTTTTGACCGTCATTTTTTAATTTTATTTTATTTTAATGATCAACAGGTCGTTGATCACAGTGACAAAGCAAACACGGCATTTTCCCCTCCCCATCTTTCGGATGAAAAAAGAGCAGCACACAATAAAAACGACAAAAATAATTACACAGCTGAAAGACCACAAACATGAAAACCCAGGAGACCAAGACAGTGCAAGTCAAAAACGTGGACAACATACAAACAAGCGTCCACACAAGCAAGGGTAAGTGGGTATGCAGCGCATAGGGGCGCTGCACCAGAGGGGCGTCAAAACCCCGTCTGGAGGGGCGGCGCCCCGATGATGCCTTCGCATACACTTCACCGCGCGCACATGTAAATGTAAATGTAGCGAGTTTTACCTTTCACGTGTCTTCACCCTTACGTACCTTCCTTTGGGGGGCGATTTATGTTTTCGCATCCACCTGAAAAATATGTAGTTGCGCCCCTGGGTATACACAAACCGAGTCTGGACATGGATATTTAAAACTACACAGTTACTGTCAGTGACCGGAACCACGAGGAGCCACCGCGCAGCGGATCCCAAGTCATCTTCTGTTGCGTTTCATTTCTTTGCGGTTTTATTAACATTCAGTTAATCCAGATCCCATCACCCATCAAGCGGATAAACATTTAACTTTTACTCTGCAAGGATAAAAACACGGACTGATGTAAAATGAAACCGACTCACCTGCTGGTCTGAACGCGCAGCGTCATCCGACCTGAATTCATTTTGATTAGATTCACTATTTCAGTGATGATTTTCCTGCTTCTGTTCACCATTTGAGTCAGCAGCGTAACTTCTCCTCTTCCAGCTCCATGTTGTCGCTTGTTGTACCAGCAGCAAATGTTCCGGGATGATGGGCTGAAAGGATCCCGGTTCTGAGTCTGAATAGATCAACAGTCTTCTCTTCAGTTTGTTCTGCGCCACTTAAGCCAAAGGTTTTCCTGATTTCCCGTCAGTAACGCTGCGCGCCGTCCATGTCAGAGCAGAGGCGCAGCCAGGAATCTTGGGCCCACTGACAAAAAATTAGACTGGGCCGCCAGGTACAATTTTTTGAGTCTATCTGACCCATAAAAAGAGTCACAATTTTTAAGGCTTGCAACTGCCTTGCTTTCTTTGGTCCAATACTGATAACTAGTACAATATTTACTGCTCATGAATTTTATATGCAACGTCTGCATCCAGTATGCAAGTAGGTTGCTTAATTTTTTTTCTATTAGTTTTAGATACTGAAATGTCTCTCCCCACTTGCAACAGTCATAGGCAACATGCAAAATACACATGAAGCAATCCAGACTTCTCAAAAAAATGCCATGTAGTTGCATTTTATTCAAGCTGCAGTAAATAACTTTAATAAATATTTTTTCTCCATATTTGTTAAAGCTGTCATGTTGTGACGGTTTGAGGCAGATAATCTGTGCAAACAATCAATCTCCTCCATCTGCTTCCTGAATTACTATTACTGGTTAAAGTAATGCACCGTTCTGACCAAAACAACCAATCAGAACCAGGAGGAGGGTCTTAGCGCTGTCAATCAACTCATTCACTCACTGCTAAATGTGCTAATGGTGGAGAAACAACTTATTGTTACAGGAAAATTGTTTATCTGCTATCACTGGTAGCTATGCTAACTAGACTAAGCATTTACAACAGGGCCCCCTGTTGGTCAGGGGCCCTTAGATTTGTCATAACTTCTCCCCTATCAGAGGTCATATTTAGAGGTGATTTATTTATTGATTGATTTCACTTGCCTCCACTATGTACTCTGAGCATAAAGCTGAAAATATCTGTGCAGCTGCACCAGGTAGGACGACCTCCAGATTTTTGTGTTTAAAACAACAAAAAACAATCAAATACAGAAAATATTTGGTTAAGGAAACTCCGAGTAGCGCTTCAACAGCAGGAATGTGACGTCGCTCATATCAGTGGAATAACAGAGCATGTAGGATTAAAATCATTTTTATTAATCTGATGTTTTCAAAGGGACTGAAATCTGGGTTTTTGTGAAAGAGTGTGGGAAGTGAATCACTGAAATAAACCAACTTTTATCTTAAATGATCTTCAGGTGTAAAGACAGGAGACATGAGTGGATGATAAAAGTTTTTATTATTCTGTATAAAATCTGTTTGGTAACTGCATATTTCTCCACTCCTTCAGCTGGTCCAGAGTATAAAGAGGAGCAAAATGAATTCATATCAAAAATATCAGATTTGGTTTCCAGACAGTTGGCACTTAAGTTTCAAACAGGATATTTGGTTTCCATTGACCCGTCGGACATTCAGAGGTAAAGATGCCCCAAAACATGACGGATAATAAAACTGACTTCGTATCAGCTAGAGGTTTTGAGATGCTTATGAAATAAATTAGATTTAAAGTTGCTTTCTATATAAATAATTTATCTTTCACAGAAAAGCTTTCAGCCCAGAAGTCTGTTCGTTTCATCCAGGAAGGAGAGCAGAATAAATAAATCCATATTTACATGTTTAATAAAGATCAGGCACTTCTTCAGCCGCCTTCCTCCTGACTGCTGCCACGGCAACGGAGTCCTGAGTTTCACCTCAAGGTGGCGCTAATGGCGGGGGGGGG